AGGCCTGCATTCTCCTTCTGCCAGTGGCTAGAAGCTGTTTCCATGCTGGCTACCTTGTGGCAAATACAAAACCTGGGGTCTCTAATCTCAACTATTTTACTAGAGAATCCAGCCACAAACCAGCAGTTCATCACAGCTCAGCAGAAATCTAAAGGAGAGGCCCAGAAATTTCAGGGCCTGAAATTTCAGCCAGAAATTTCCAGCCAGGTTCATTGCCTTTCTCTTTCTGAGACTTTGTAAAGGAGTGAATGTAAAACTTCAGTGTTAAGGTTGTCTTGCAGTAACCTTGTGATTGTGTGCACTCTTTGTCAAGATCCAGGATTCCCTGTGAAGTGCTGGACTCTCCCTTTTCTTTTTTTCCTGGTCCTGTGCAAAGTCATGGCTGTGCTGGTGGCACCTATACTTTTAACTGAAGAGGTTCCTTCCCTTTCTCCCCAGTTTCAATCTGAAAGGTGGAGGTCCCAGGATAAAAAGCTTGGTATCCCACTTCACAGTTGAGCCACAGTCAGGCATGCTGATTGCCTCCCAGGCTGGTGTGAATGTTGAGATGATGTTCCACCCTATGGCTGAAATCCTTCTCAAGAACAAACCCATCCTGTTCTGCCAGGTGAGCTGCCTGGGTGAGGCTGTGTTATCACACAGTGTTTTGAGAGCATAAACACGATAGATGTCTTCTGGAAGGATGGCTTTAACTGGGGAATCTTCTCTCCTACATATACAAAGTCTTTCAAAACCATTTGGGAGGCTTCCTCAGCACAGCTGAGAATCTGACTCTGGAAGAAGTGTTTAAACAGGGAGGGTAAACTGTGGAGGCCTTGGGTAGAGGCCAACCTTTTGTTTGCCACCTTTTCCTATGGATGCAGGTGATGGATGCCAGCTCGGGTCAGGGAGGCCAGAGTGTTGCCAGCATCCCAGTGAGGGTGTCAGCAAAAGCTGTGTACAGCAAGTTCAACATTGAGCCTGCCTCGCCCATCAACTTTGGTGCCATGATGAAGGGGACCAGGAAAACCCAGACTATTGTGCTGGAGAACAAAGGAATGCTCATGTTCAAATTCTGCATCTTCCAAGCACCTAAGGATACTTCTGCATTGCCAAGGTGAGAGAAGCCCGGCACCACCCTTCCTGTCTGAGGAGGCACCACCTCACGGCTGGAATGTGGCAGGCAGCCAGGAGGGCTGGGCTATCGTCTGTTTGCATCCCTGGCTCGGGGASAGGGAGCAGGAAAAYGCCTCGGTTACCCCCWCATGTAGCASCAAGCTGGTGATAGAGCTGCTCTGTSCAGCAATGGGGGCTGCAGGCAGCTCTCTGAGAGCCACAAGGAGGAAGGCCAGCCTTGGCCTCAGGRAAGGGCAGGGGAGCTCAGCATGTTAGACACCTCTGCTTTCTTCTCTCAGTTTAAAGGATGGGCAATCTGCTTCCTCATCTAGAAACGAGTCAGCAGAAAKGAGATCAAACTTCTCAACCACACAGGTGGGTGACTCCTGCTCCCCAACAAGTGCTGCTGCAGGGGATGTGAGAAGATGCTGCAGTGCCTAGGCTGGGAGCTCATTGCCACAGGGCGGGATATGGTCTACAGGACAGAGTCCGGTATCTGCTCAGTCCCACTGACAGTCCTGTGCTCTGGCTYTGACCTRGAGTTGTGGGGTCAACAGAGGGGAGTAGGTCCTGTGCTTGGCAGATGCTAGCCAGCATAAGTCTGTGAGTGCCACAGAGGCAAAAACATCCCCCACTGAACTCTTCGTCAACAGAGCTCAGACAACATTGCTTTTYCTTCTTCTCAGTCCCAACTCSCATCATTTCTCACAGCTATTTCTGCTCTCCTGTATTACCTCTGGAGGGTGAAGGATTGTAGCTACCACCTTCATTCTTTACAATCRAACTCCTTTCTCTCTGCCACTTGGGTCAGGCTTGCAGCTCCTCCTGGCTTGTTGGCCATGAAGTCACCCATCCTCCCTGTCCCGGACTGGGTGCTTGGGCCCAGCTGGAGGCCAAGGCGGAGTGTACTGCTTGCTGGATGTGCTCAAGGTACCACTGTTAGGCTTCAGCCTCTCCTGGAATTGTTTCTGCAGGCTCAACTCAGTCTTGGCATGTTCACGGTGTACCCTTGCTCTGGCTCCATCGCTCCGTGGGGCCAGCAGAAGATCACCGTGGAATGCATCACAGGACCCTCACAGGAGGGGCTGTGTGAAGAGCAGTTCTACCTCGACATCACAGGCAGAGATCCTACGGACAATCCCTTGGGCATTCCCTTTACCCTGATTGCTGAGTCCTGCCTCCCAGGTACACTACTGTCYACRGGTTCCCATGGTCAGACCTGCTGCTGATCAGCACCTAAACATGCTGCTTGGATAGAGAGGCCTTGGTGTCCCACTTTAAAATCCACAGAGGTTCCAGCCCTCTTCAACTCCACCAGTGGCCTCATCTCGCCTAGGCTGGGAGGGACGCATGGAAGGATAGAAGGAGAGCAATGCTCTTTAGGACTGAGGTTGACTGAGCTCCATCCTCACAGCCAGCTCCCCCACCCAAGGCTGGATGTAGCAGTCACCCAGGCAGAAAGGGCTTATCAAGCCTTCTGAGAGGCCAACAGGGTCCAGATGCATTCATCAGGGAGGCTTCTGCATGCTCATCTCTCTGGTCTGTCCACAGGATTTGTTGAGGATGTCTTGGCAATCTTTGAGGAGTACCCGATCTGCAGCAGCACCACCGACCTCAGCCACCTGCTGCAGTCAGTGAGAGGCAAGGGTCTGTTTGTCAGAGATGAGAACAAATTCATCTTCATCAAGGTTCTGGTCGGGAAAGAGGCCAAAGCTAATTTCAAGATCTACAATGCAAGCAGTATCCCATGTGACGTGGCCCTCGCCATCAAGCCCGCGCCTGGACTGGTAAGAACAGGAGGCCAAGGTGACGGTTGCCCTCTAAAAGCTGTGTGAGAGCCTGCTTTGTTCTCCAGATGCATTGCTTCCTCTGGCCCAGGCTAGTCTAGCTCAGTGCAGGTCAAACTGCAGGGGAGAGCAGCAGAGCCAGGCAACAGTTGTGATGAATTCTGCATGTCTTGGGCAAGGTTTTGGCTCACAGCTTGGGGTCTTTGGTGGGAGAAGTGAACCTTCTGAACCTCTCTTGGAAGCACACTCAGAGAAGGGCTGTTATGAACTGACTTGCCAGGGCTCAAAGCAGAGCATTTGCTCAGGCTCCCTGGCTTTTCCTTCTCTTTAAAGGCC